CTTCCATCCTAGGTTAATATATAAAACTTAATTAAATAACCTTTCTGGAGTATTCTATAGCAGAATCTAAGGCTTCTTTTCATGACAAAAAAAACCAAACCACAAATCCACCTCTTGGGATATAAAATGGTCAGAATTGTACTGTTTTCTGTACATTTTATCTTCCTCTAATTCTTAAAAACACTCACTTGGTTCTTCTTAACACCCCCCCCCCCTTCTAACTTGAAAAGCAAGCCTGTGTATCCAATGTGCTATATAATCTGTGTGGAATGTATGTACAGAAATGGAGTGGGTTGCATTGTGGTGTCTGTCACTGAGACAAGCCTGAAGTAACTGTGGGGTGAGGTTAATCGTGGAGCTTCGTGTAGTCTGAATTGCTGTAAGTCTGCTATTGTGACTGACCTACAGTTAATGCAAAGACATTTCAAACCTACATATTCCAGTTTTTCCGAACGTGAATAGTCTAGGACCTAATATGAATTTCAAAATCAAGCCTTTCTTTTTGCATATGGCAAAAAGAAAGCATTTTAACATTTCAAAGCTAAGCCTTTCCTGTAGAAACAATGTTGGTTTCGGTGCCAATATTGAATTGCCATTGTGATTTGGATGGAGGAGCTCTGCAGCTGGTTGGCTGCTAGTGTGCTACGTGGTTGGAGCAGCTGTAACAGAGATGAAGAAAAAGGGCTTTTATAGCTCAGGGTGGATTGCTTTCCTGACTACATCCATGCTGAACATAGAGTTGCAACAGTTACCAGTTTCAGCCATAGCAAGGAAAAGCATGCCAAACTTACTGAAAAGCATTAACTTTCATCAGTTTGAGAGTCCAAAGAATGATCTTCCCCATCTACTTTGTAGGCTTGGAGAGTAGAGTAGATTTAGAATCCCCAAACAAATCTATTAATCCTGTATCATATTTCCTGAGAAGAAAGGGAATTCAGTAAAATCTGTCAGTTATCATGGGAAGTTATGAAAGCTTTATACCTTTATTTCACTTTAACTAGTTCAGGAAAAGAGATTACTTTCTTTGTAATAGCATTCATAAAGATTATAAGCTGTACAATGTTTAAATGGCCTCACCAGCGGAAGTTTGCTTATCTATCTTTAAGGGCGTCATCCTCCGCAAGTCAGTCCTTCTTTAACATTAGTTATCCAAGTGAAAATAACATGCCATATAATATAGAATAACATGCCAATCTCCAACGTGCTTGATCCCTGCAACAGCTGCCTAAACAGATGAGATTTCAGTAATAACAATATTTGCAAAGTAAGACATCAGTGCAAACATTAGTTAAATGTAACTTATCTGAATACGTTATCAGCCTCAGAATAATCAAGTAACAATCTTTATTATACACATAGAGTGTGATGTAGATACAGAAATACATCTTGCGGTAAACCTGCGTTTTACCTCCTAACAATTTATTTTAACTGTGTGACTATGTGAAGAGCATAAACATGATGATATATCTGTAGTTTGCATATTTATATTGATAGTTTCTATCTAGTTCCTGTATAACTTGGGCAGATTTACATCACCTTTGTAGGCCATGCTTCACTACATGTCAGTTTTGAGGCACATTTGTGTTAGGATATGCTTTAGAGAAACAAATTCTAAAATGACAGGAAGGAATTGAAGCGCTGCTTGCTGACGTTCTGCCTACCTAAAAAAAAGACTGATGGGTTTATGGGATAACAGTTTTCTCACATGGGTTTAGATTGCTACTGAGCATATTTCTTCTGTAAGCGTATTTCTTTGGGTAAGGAAACAGGAGTGAAAGTTTCCAGACTTTATCATTGGCATTCCCAAGCTTCCATTCTGCTTTGCTGATCACCAGTGTCCATTTCATCATGGAGAAGGAACAGAGCCATAAAGCCTGAAGCTGCATTGCACTTCATAAGAAGTGATGTATGGACAGACCAAAATTTCAGATGTGTTATATAGGGACAAAAGATCTAGAAGGAGACATAGGATTGTAGGGCAGTAGCAGGGGATGAGATAATATAGAGACATGTGGAGGAAGTGCTGGTTATATGGTGTGGGGAGAGACTTAGTAGAAAGCTGGGAAAGACATGTCCACAGCTCAGTGAGACAGCTACTTCTGCCGCTGGAGTAGCTAATGGGACTTTCCAAGCAGTTTCAGCTTGGGAACCCCTTTGCCACAAAACTTGGCTGTTGACTGATTCCTGACTTTCAAGACAGGGCAGTTTCTTGACGCAGGTGAAATGCTTTGTGTCCTAGCAAACTGGTCACAGTATTGCACAGACTGCCATATAACTTGTGGTGTAGGTAGCAGCTCTGGAGCGATTAACAGCCCAGGTAAGAATCCTGCTAACTCTGCCAACTGAGCAGGTTCTGCAGCATTTGATAGGATTTTCATAGTGATCCAATGGCCCATTTTTTTAAATGAACAATATTCAAATTATTTTTGATTGTAATGCAAAGAAAGCCCTGCAAGATTAGACAGATGGGGAAGTAAGAACATTCTATTGCTTCTGTTATTCTCTAGATGGTAGCTTATGATTATTACACTCTTTTAACTCAATCATTATGCTCTGAAATGAGCAATAAACATGAAAAATTGCTGTTTGTTATCTGGTCTCTAGAGTGCAGTTCTATTCATGTTCTCAGAAAGAACGCCTTTGCTGTTATGATAATACTTACTAGTTTTATTGTATCTATGAAATTATAAACTAAACTGTATCTTCTGGGAATTTCTGTGCAAGGTCATAGTTCTTTTTTTCTTTTCTCTCCCCCACTAAGACTAATAGTGTAAGCAAAACTCAAATATGTACTTGCTTAGGAGTTCAGTGTCCTAGTTTTCTCTGGGATAAAGTTAATTTTCTTCTTAGTAGCTGGTACAGTGCTGTGTTTTGGATTTAGTATGAGAATACTGTTGATAAAACATGGATGTTTTAGCTGTTACTAAGTAGTGCGTACCCTCATCAAGGACTTGTCAGTTTCCTATGCTTTGAAGAAGAAGCCGGGAGGCAGCATGGCCAGGACAGCTGATGCCAACTAGCCAAGGTGGCATACCTTTCATACCACAGAGCATCCTGCTCAGCATATAGACTGTGGTGAGTGAGTGGCTGCATGGTACTTAGTTGTTGACTGTTAAACCATGACACAGAGTAAACAATTAGTCCTGTTATCTGCATTGGCATCACAAAGACTATTTACATGTAAGTAGAACTTTGTGATAGCTTCAGAATAGTCTGCCAAGGCCTCAGAAACGATTTTTCATGAGGTTTTTGCATTTTTGTTTTTGTTGTTATTCCTTAGAATGTCAATATTTTACTGGTGGAACCCGTTCTAAGACTGTTCATCCTGCAGAAAGATATGTACATCTGTGTGATGTTAGTAGTCTTGCATAAAATGCATTATCTGCAATATATGGTGAATTGCTCAAGCAGCAATTTAAGCTTCAGTGAGACTCTGGTTTTGGTGAACGTTTCACTGGAGGCCAGCAGTGGGAATATATTTAGGTAATGAGGTAGTAGTTCTGTCAATATTTGTTTGGTTTGGGTGGGTTTTTGAATTAAGTTTTAAATAGTGCAAAAAAAGCTGAAAAACTTCCCATGATATGGCAGAAGTTGAGCAGGAAAATCTGCTTTCTCTGATTCCATGGTGGTGAGCCTCGTACCTTTGAATGTATGAAGATTTGTCACTGTGTCTCATCTGTCACTGTGGGATGAGATGGAATGATGTTTGTCCCCTCTGCTTTCACTCTGCTCTACCCAAACCCATCATGATAGTTTCAGAAGGAAAGAGTCTCCAATGCGACGCCTGAGGACACCACTGCGTTTTGCAGTAAGCTGTTATTTCAGAGAGATGAGAACTTTAAGATGATGGATTTGTTTTCCTGTCTTGGCTTCTCTTCTGTGTTTAACCTACAGCAGCAGAACTACATGTATTCAATTCAAATGTGATTTGACCTAATGGTTCACCCTTCAATGCACTGTGGGATGGGCATGAATTGCAGGTCCATGGCATAGGTAGAATGGAGGCAAAATGTACCTGATCAGCTGCAGAGATCTGCAGAGGACTGTCACTTTGATAAAGTTAGGATCAAGAACCCTCTCTTGTGGGAACCCTGGCATTCAAAAGCTGTGAATGTCTTGAGATAGATTTGAAATAGTAACAATGTCAGAAAGCACACTGCTTTACCTTTGAAAGTAAAATGCCAGCATCCAAAATAACATTTCTGAGTTTAGTAACTTCCATATTCTTCATGAAGTCTTCATATGCAGTCAAATTCTGCTGTTGATGAGAGTGAAATTCTGGGTAGCTCATTTTCTTGTCTTTACTATGAATTAATTGGGAGCAAAATATTAAAGATAGCCCATGTCACAGAAGGTTTGCAAGAGTAATTTGGGAAAAGTCAGTGCATGACCATCTGAAGCAACAGGTAAAGTGCTATTAGTGAATGGCATATGATGTTTTTAAACTGTGATAGTATGAGCCGCACAATGACAGTGTATGTATGAGGGGGGGGGGATTTTTACTTTTGTACCATAGCTTTGGGGAACGGAGTTAACGAGAATCGCGATACCTGAAGACAGTCGTGTGCAATCTGAGCCGTTTAAAACTACACCGTGACTACCGGCAGTCAGCTCAAGGCTCTCCCAGGCGATCCCCTCCGGAAACGGTCGACTCGGAGCAGCTTCCTCGTCCCGTCCAGCCCGACTTTGGTGGGCGGTGGGACCCTGCCCCGAGGTGCGCGGACCAGGTGCGGAAGCGGGGAGCAGGCGCCGGGCCGCGGTCCCTGTGCTAGGCGCTGCCGCCCCTCGGCCCCGGCCCCTGTCTCGTCTGTTCTCCCTGCCCGCTCCGCGCCCCGTCCCTCTGCTCCGGCGGCTCCCGGCCCCCCCCCCCACCGCCACTCCCCTCCGCCCCGCCAGCGTCCCACGGCCCCCGGGGACATAAATCCCTCCCCGCCGGCGGCAGCCGTTCCGCGGCACCCCGCGGCGATGGCGGCTGCGGCGGGCGGGCGGGCGCTGCGGTGCGCGCTGGCGGCCGTGGGGCTGCTGTCGGCGCTCAGCGCCGCGGGGACGCTGTTCCTGCTGGCGCAGTGGCGGGAGCTGGGAGCGGCGCTGCGGGAGCTGGAGGCAGCGCGGCCCTCGGAGGGCAACGGCTCCGCGCGGTACCTGCTGGACCCCGGAACGGCGCCCGCCCGCAGCAAGCGGAGCCACCGCGGGGAGCGCGCCCGCGGACACGTGCGGGCCGAGAACGACGACATGCTGATGATGATGACCTACTCCATGGTGCCGGTACGGCGGAGCGCACGGCCCGCCGGGGCTGCGGCGGGAAGGGGGCCGGCAGCGGCGGCGTTGGCCCTTGGTACCCGCCTCTAGCCGCAAGGGGCTGAGGGACAGTGGGGCTGGGGCTTGTCCCAGCTCCGGCCGCACGGTTCCCTTGTATGGGCGATGCTGACATTGCCGGGTCTGGGCCGCTCTTTGCTGCTGCTGAGTTTACGTCGTGCAAAAACACCCGCTTGATGCTTTCAGAGCGTGGTGCCTAAGGAACAGCGTCTGTAAATGATGAGGCCTTAGAGTTGATGTGCCATCTAGGTTACAGTTTATGATTAAACTTCTAAAATGATAGTTATGTAGATAAACAGAGTGAAGTTATTCGTTAGAAGCATGGGTTTAATGAGGCTTCAAAAATATAATTGTAATAGGGTCAGCCTTCTGGTTCTAAGGTTTTGGATCTTTAAATCTCTGCACCACTAGTAGAACCCCCATGTGTTTCCTGCTGTTAAGTATCTCAAGGTGAGGTACTTGACATCGCTTTACCCGCACATGTGTCTGAAGTTGATAGAAACCTTTCAGTAAATATTAAAAGTAGTGCTCGATGGGTCAGTAGAGACCTTTATGTCCTTTCTCTAGCAAAATTGCGTAGTTTTTTGCACTTCAGTGAAAAGATTATCTTTGCTTGGTGTTAACTAGGTTATGTAATGGAGAAGATACACAGGTCATACAGTTTAAAAACTCTGAATAGATTTAAAAGCTTTTAAGTTCTGAGTCAGAAGTACAAGAAAAGTATTACTATTACAAGCAGCTTAGTGGGAATTCTGTCCCAGTGAAGACTGCAGACCTTGGCCCACAAAAGAGCAGGAGAGGCTAACTCCACCTCCTACTGCTGTCACCAGTATTACTGGTTTAAAACATCACTTACAGAAAATACCTTTTCAGTATTGTTCCACTGGCATTTTTGTTAATAAACCATTGCAATGATGGTTTTGCAGTGATGGCATCTCCATTAATATTCAAGCTAATGAGGCTGTAGAGTGCGGGTGTTCATAGCATAGCATTTTGATAATGCAGTTGTTGGGAGTTTAGGATAAATAATTATTTCAGGTCAAAGTGGAATGTTAATCATTATTTTTTGGAACCATAATTCTCAAGTTACTGTTACTGAGCAGGGCTCTTCCAAATTTGAAAACTGAAATGACTTTCTAGAAACATAAAAAAAACCAAAACCTGGAAAACAACAGTGTGTTTTCTTTAGATTTTTTTTGATCAAATAACCTTAAAAAATGTGATGACCCAGTGAAATATTTTCATGTGCTGCAGCTAAGCTTTTCATCAAAACATTTAGTCAAAACTTCTTCCTGTTTCTCTTATGAAACCATCTTTGTATTTGGCAGCTGCTGCTCACTTTGTTCCAGCTGACGTGAACTGCTGCTTTGAGTCTAAGGAATCCACAAATAAGATTATCAGAGAAAAGGTTCAGATCCTGACAGGGACTGAACACTGCTGATGCTCTCTGTTAGGTGCTGGGGATTAAACTGTTAGTGGCCATTGGATGTCTAGATAATCTTGACAGTGGCAGTTAAATATGCTACTCTGTTGTCATTAGGTAGCATGCGTGGATTGAATGACTTTTATCATCATCTTCAAATAGCACTGAGTGACACGGTGTATATTTTATCAGCATGTGGCAAGACTATTCACTTGTGCAGCATCTCCATTTAAATCACCCCTGTGACTACTGCTGTGTGTGATGTGCTTCGTATAAACGTGCATTCTGTAGGGAGCTGCTTGGGCAGGTTTTGTGTCATTTGTTCTCACAGAGTTTCCGCCAACTGTTTTTCATTCTGGCTGTTGCTGGGTGTGTATCTGTGTGCAGACCCACTTGATCAAGGGGAAAAGTCCTCAGAAAAAATTTCAAGCACCCCCTCCCACTCTTTCATTTTTCCATTTTGTGCCTAACTCCCACTAATGTAATACGAAGACTTGAATGCTTCTATTGTCTCACTTGTAGTGCGAGATAAAGTTACTTGCAGTTGGTGAGATGATCTTTACTACACTTGCACGCCTTAGAATGATATTCAAGCCTCTGTTGAATGTGGGCCCGGAATGGAGGTTTCCCCTGAGCAGGATCTCTCCTGTAGCAGAGGCACAGGTTTCTGCAGGTTGGTGCTGTAGGTATCAATATCCTACAGCTCTACACAACTGTTGGTCAGGGGAGGTCTGTTGTGGCCACGGCTCAAGTCTCTCTGAAATAGCTTTAGGTATCAAAAGTCATATTTTATCTTTAATAACATGAGCATAGTTTTTTTGGTTCTGGGCCTTTTGTTTATGTATTTATAAATAAATTTATTTTGTAAGAGAATAAAAATAGGAAGTCGGCGAATCTGCTGCTCTAGAAAGGCTGCTAAGAGGGTAACAGCCCAATAAATTTGAGAGTAATAAGTTTGAAAGTGAGATTTAAAACAGTGCAAGAGGTGATGGCTTATGGCTATCTAGTTATCCAAGTTGTTGCTTCATAACTTTGGTTGTCTTATTTTGTGTTTTCACTTGCTTAGTGACAAAACTAAACTTTTATTATTTAAATAATATACTTTTATCTGTAGCTTTTCTTCATGGTGGTGCTGGCTGATTGGATGACTTGTGTACTCATCTTTCATAGCTAATCAGGAGGTTCTGCTGTAAGCTATTTGCTAACACACTTTGAGTGCCATGTTTTTTAATTGTCACCTGAATTGCACTGATTGGTAAAATAATACTGCTGAGATAATTGGAGGGCCCCAAAGCAAGTTGCAATCACTTCAGCAACCTCAACAAAACCATTTAGATTAAAATGCAGTTTGAATTAGAGCACACATGGACAATGTGCATTTTACAAGTTACATGGTGAAAGCCAGGTGTTTTGGAGGGGTGGGAGGGGAAAGAGAACAAGCCAATTCTGATGTTCAAAACCAGTTAGCGCTTCTCAGCTAATTTAAATTGAGTCTAAAACTTGTAAATACAAGAGCTGTTCCAGTACGGTCTAGAATCTGGTGAATTCTCCAGATGTATCTGACTGAGTTAAAATCCTTCTTTTGATTTTGCAGCAAAAGAGGACTTGCATCAAAACAGTTGTCCTTTGAGTCTGTTACATTTGTTGCTTGAAGCTAATGATGTGCTAGTTTTAAAAGTAAAGATTAACAGCAGCAAATAACATGCTAGGATTAAACATCAATCTGCCTTTCAGATTGATTTGCACTTGTTCTCTTTTGGGACTGGTGCATTCCATTATTGGTAAATAGAGTAGTTTTATAAGGATGAATAAATGAGCAACTCTGGGTAAATAGTTCCTAAATTATCATATATTGCACAGCTCTGAAATAACAATCTTTTAAATTTCTGACTATAAACATTAGAATTGCCCATGAAGAGCTGAGGCCCTTCCAGTGCTTGCGTTCATAATATCCTCATTTCTGCTTGGTGTTTTGATGAGTCACAAAACATTTTATGGTGTTGACTCTCACTCTCAGCAAGCAGGACATGTAAAATGAATGCTTTCTCAGCCAAAACCCATGCGCTTTGTAAAGATGACTTTCTGATTGAGAAACTTTAGTCTATTCTAAATTAAGAGCATCTGTATGAATGTGTTTTTCAGCTTGGTTTTGATGAAGTCAGTCATTGCTGGAATGGAATTTTGAATGGATGAAAGTCCTTTCCAAATTAGTAGATCTTGGTTATTCCAAGATAAGAAATCACTTCGTTTGTATTTCTCACTGGATATCTTATGTTAGATAAGTATTCATCATCTGATATGAATTTAAAATAAAATTGAGTGTAACCTTTATTGGCTGATTTTGGCTTTTAATACCTTCTAGTGGTAGAGTCAATGCATGGACAACCATGGAGGTTTTACAATAAAGTATGAGCCTTAATGCCTAGATGATGTATGGAGTAGTCTGCCAAATATTTTCTTCCTGCCTTCAGTAAGATTTAAGATGAGGTATATTAAACAAATTCCTATGAGAGTCACTGCCTGAAGAGATGGATGGAGTCACAGGGTTAAGGTAGTTTATTCTTACGAACACAGAGTGGACAGTTTTATCTTTGTTGTTGGAATTATTTCTGTAGGCAAAGTAAACCAGATACTTCTATGGCATGCACTGGCTTCAACTTCACTTTCTTTGCAATTTTAGGTCCGAGTGATGGTGGATTTATGTAACAGCACAAAAGGGATATGCTTAACAGGTACGTTTATTGCCTGAAGCGCTACACCTATGTTATCTTCAGGAACAAAGAATTACAATGTCTTCAAAGAACTTGAGGTCGGTGACTGTGTCAAAGAGCAGTGCTATTTACTGAGAATGTATATATCAATTATGCTGCTTATTTAAAAAAAGATAATAGGTGCTACTTTGGGTTTTACCTATGCCAACTTAATATAAATGTTGGAATCTAAGGATCTCAGTTGATGTTAGTTGGAGCTATTTCTTTCCCAAGTAATTTTCATAAGCAAATCTTATAGACTTGGGTGTTTAAAATACTAGCTGAGGTTTGGTCTTGGTATTTTTGTCTACATCTCCACACTTCAAGGCTACCTGGGATGAACATACAGGATGTAGAAACTTGCTTCCATTGTTTAACTGCTGTGGAGTAATGAGGCTTAGATAAGTAAAATGTTTGCCTACCCCTGCTTTGGATTGGACCATGGTAACAGGACATTGGGTTTCACATGTTATCAGTGAGGAACTGGAATGGCTGATAGCTAGAAGAGGTTATCTGAGAAGTTTTTATGTGATTTGATGAAAAGAATGTCAGGATGTAGCCATTTTAAGGGCTATGGTCCAGCTTTGAATTCTGTAACAGACTGAGTTGTGTTCTGTTTTGAAGATGGAAGATTAGAAATAAGCCACTTTTTATGTGTTTAAGAAAATGCTTCACTTACGTTAGTAAGTAGTACAGTAATGCTTACTATAGTATAGTATAGTAATGCTTCACTTACTATAGTAAGTGAAGGAACACTTACCACTTGTGTTTTCAAATGGCTATCGGGTCCGTGTGGCTGAACTGATTTCAACATAAATGAGTGTTGTGGCACTATTATCATAGTACAAACAGATGCTGAATACTGCTTCTGAAAATGCAGATCAGTTCTGACTGCAACTGAGGCTGAGCCATAGACAACTTAGAAGTTTGTTTCTTTGGGCTACAGACTTCTGAATTCATGCAGCTTGGTGCCTTCTGCACATTTTTGATCTCTTGACACCATTAAACTTTGTTGCTGGCTTTCTCTGCTATAGGCCTTTGTGACAATTGCTGCTTTTTCAAGTACCTTTCTTGTTTACATTATGCTTATACAAGGGTAATAAAGATCCTCAGTTTTTGAGGTAAGGAAGTAATTGAACGCACTGATGGATGTAACATTGTAGTGTGGAAGAAATGGTCATTTACTGGAAAATTGGCAGAAAGATGTTAACTGACGTTACTGCCTGTACTGATTAAAAGAGATAATTGCTGTAATGGTATTATAAAATAGTTTTCACTTTACTCATAATGCTTTCTAATTAATGCTGAAAATTGTCATCGTTAGGGAAATCTAGTAATTACTGTTATTTTCTGTTGTAGAGTTACGTTGAAACAAGACTACTTTGTTGGCTAGATGAAAATGCTCACAGAACTAATTTGGTTCTTTAATTGCAACTGCCACCTTTCTTTGTATTCTCCTAACCTGCTTTTTCTGCTTGTTTTTTGTGGCTCTTTTTTTAATATGTTTTGGTGATAGATCTTATTACAGAAACATTTTTGGTTTATTCTTGGTTTACTCTTGCCTGCTGTGCTTTCTTCTCATTGAGGCCCTATACCTGAACTAAGACAGAGAGAATGAGACAGATTTTATTGCATGGCGTGTTGCTGAATAACTGAGCCAAGGCCAGTTTCTAACACACCAGCCAGGGCCTGTGGGAAGCTTGGGTTCCAGACCAGAGAACAAATACGTGTGAAAAGGCTGATTGTGATTTAGATGTAGTCAATAATAATGACAAGACTTTTTCCATTTTTTTCCCTGTTTAAATAGTTTGAATCCTGAACTGCAATGAAATACAACACATGGGAAATATAGCATGTATTTTTAATGTGTATTTTCAACAGGACTTTTAATTATGACATTCATCAGTATTTGTTAAATCTATTCTTCTGCAGTAGGATTGTGGAGAGCACTTATATGAAGGAGATGTGATGATTGTTAAATGCCTTGCATCCATCCAGATAAGCCATGACAGTGAGAGTACATTGTAGAGGTGGTTGTTTGCCAAACCTTTATCAATAGAAATTTGCGAAAAGCAATATGTATGTGTCTGTGTAATTTCTTTTAAGGATACTCTTTCAGTAAGTGAGTTTCTGCTAATGTTTAAATTATTATTTATAATACAAAGCAGCTAAACCCACAGGTGTTCATTTTGAAATCTGTGGGGGGGTCCTCCCCTTTTACTGTTCTGATTTAATCCTGATAAATTGAGTTTGGAATTGTTTTTTGTTTCTTACTAGCTTAAACTCATCATTTCTTCTTTCTTGTTCTTGCTGTAGGCCCCCCAGGTCCCCCAGGTAAGATGCTTGGTACAACTGCACTAACATTTTTGGATAATAGAAACAGTTGCCGGTACAAAACCTCAAAATGTAGAAGTGTATCTTTTATGGCACAGTCTGCTTTGCTAATTAGAGTGAGAGGGCTGAATGACTGCCTGCCTTTCCTGCCTTTCTAATTACCGTATTTAGGTCAATTCGTGCCCCTTCTGAGCAGGGGGGAGGTTTTAGACATTATACTTTTCTAGTGGAGGGAATGCAATAGTTTCACATTTGCCAAAATTTATTTGATCAAAACCAGGTGAAATTAAGAGTGTTTAAGTAGCATTTAGCTGAAGACATGAATGTACGCATATAAAAACCCCAACAACCTGGGTAAATTGATATTATAACACTAAAAGCATCACTTAAAAAAAATGTTGGTTAATGATTCCACCCTCCCACCACCCCCATAACTTTCTCCTTGATTATTTAATTCTTTCTGTTCTCCCTCATGGGTTGCTAGGCTATGTGAATGGTTACTTGCCTTCTTTCTGTGCTGCCTTAGCTGTGGGTCTGCTTAGAATAATTCTCTATATCAGAAAAGTATCAGGTACATTTTGTTTGTCGGGGTTCAAGTAACAGTGAGAGGCAGTGATGTCTTCTCAGTCAACCAGTCATGGTTTGGCACTGCAGTATTCTGGACAAGTAGGTAAATGTTGTTCTTGTGTTGGATTAGTCCAGCAGATACCATGAGCAACATTAAATCTTAGGTGGCTTCTGGAAGGTGCTATAGTCACTGCCAAATTCAGAAATAAATGGGTCCACAGTTCTTGTCATTGAAGTGGAATCCAAAAGGCTGATCTGTGCTGGCCTTAATGCAGGTTGTGGGCAGTATTAATTTTATTCAGTTTTCTTATACACAGGCCAGGGCAAAAAAGCATCTTACCTTTAAGTTTGGTTTCATAGCGTTTTGTTGTTTGTTGTGGATGGGTGTTTTCCTGTTTGTATTGGTTTGGTTTGGTGGTGTGGTGGGGGTTTGTTGTAGGAGGATACTCTATTGGCATGAAGAACATAATGGCCAAATAGAGGATTTTATATGTCATATCTATTAAATATATATAAACTTACTTTATGTAACTATAGCAGAATTAAGGATAAATTGCATTTAACAGTGCAAACATATATCATTTATGCTGTTTGGTTTGTTCAGGGCCTCCTGGACTCGATGGACGACCTGGCTACAATGGATCAGATGGACTCCCAGGTATACCAGGACAAAAGGGAGAACCAGGAATAAGTGGAAAAAGAGGAAAAATAGGTATTTTTTTTTTTTTTTTGGTGGTAGTTTAAAAAAGGAATTGTTTCTTACTATTATTTCAGATGTAGTTGCTTTTAGACCTGTGTACAGGGAGAAGGGTTTCAGTGTTTACAAAGAAGCTGCACGTTACAGAATTCTGTAGATTCACGGTCTTACACCAGGCTTTGGTAGATTTCTTCAGATTTAAACCACAGTAAGGAAGATGATGCAATATTTCAGATTAAAGCTGTTGTATCTCAGTATTCTGAACTTGTTAGTAAATACTGTTATTGGAAGAATATTTCCTTTCACTCACCTGCCAACATAATGGCCCTTAGACTTTAGATGCCTTAAAAAAGGAAAGCCAGAGTTTGTGGGTGAAATCTGTTACTTATTATCACAGTTTTGATTCCAGATTCATAATACCTGTGGCAGGAGCTGTATATTTGCATATTTTGCTTCTTTTCTGTATTGCTTATTTAGGCTGGAAGCTCTTATTTTTCAGTCTCTGGTACACTTTGTAATGCGTTTAGTCCACAAGGGATTTTTTTTATGGTGGTTGACGAAGCTATTTAGCCCAACTTAAATGATTTCACCACAGTATGTTTCTGCTAAAAACAGAGAAAATCAGCAGCAGAAGTGCTGTCGTTTCTTAGCTGTCCAGCTCATCAGGAGGAAATGGGACAGGCTGACTATAGAGAACAGAAGTAGACCTGGCAAGCTAGGTTCAACAGATGACTGCACAGTAGCTGAGGCAGTTACTTCAGGCAAAGCCTGTAAACTACTGAGAAGATTTAAAGTGGAAGCAATTGGTTTATCCACTGACTTGTCTGATGCACAGTAGCAATGTACAAGCACTTCAAGGCAGAATGAAAAAGCAATTGGGTTGTGCATGGTAGAAGGATAAGGAGACAAAAGGGCATCAGAATGGTAACTTTGAGAGGGGCAGAGAAGAGGGAAGGGTATGTCCATGAGTGAACAGGCTGACATTAGCAGGTTGGTATTTATAGTGGCCCATCTATTATTCTGGCTTTTGCACGTAGCCGCGTGGGTTTGCTGCCAGGTACAAGTGGAACAATTGCCTACTGTATCTTGAGACACGGCATGATCTGTCACTGCAGTATCCCCAGTAAATGTTTAAAATTGGAAATGAAAGTGAGAACCAGTGTTCAGAGTCGGTGGCAATTGTGCCAAAGGCACACTTCGGATTTCTCCCCAGAACTGAAATTGTTTCAGATTTCACAAAATCAATTTAAATAGTAAAATCCTGGGTAGAGAACTACACATTTTGTTCTCAAGTATTAACAAATATAATTCAGTTGAAACCTATGGCTGCAAGAACACGCACATTTCTACTTGTGCAACTGTTAAGATTCCCTCTTCTAAAGCAAGAAAATACAAATTGCCACAGAAGTGGAGTGCAAGCTTTTGATGTGTCAGTTGTGCAAACACACCATTGTTTTTCTGATTGCACAACTAAATCACACGGGACAAAGGAATGAATACCTTGCTAAATATGTTAGTTTACCAATCAAGTGCAAAAAGTACCTGGACTACGCTTTCACCAAGCATAGAGGGAGGGTTATAGTAGCCATGTGAAAATGTTACCAGGAAGCTGTTCCTGTTCTCTGTTGGACACTGGAAAATGTTAGAAGTGCAGTGTGTGTTGTAATGGTTAGTAATTGCTTTAAGAAAAAGCCTAGAACCATGAAAATGCCATTCTTCAGTGCCTTACAAATGTGAGATAAAGATAGTACTTCACATCTTCACTTACTGTTCTTTCTTGCCCAGAAATTTTCTAGCCAGTGTTAATGAGGCCCAGGTCTGTATATTTCATGCTCAAACCTCAGAGGTCACTAGGTAAAGAATGTATTATTAGCACCAAACAGATTGTACCAACTTTCTCTTCATATTAGGTTATGGTGTGGTTTTGGAATCAGACATATTACAGCTACCCAGTTAAATACAGGTGAAAAAAACAACTAGAGTGATATGGTATTTGTATTTAAAAGTTTCTTGATTGATGCTTAATACTGGAACAGTGCTCTTGGTACTGAATCACTTTTTATTTCTAGGTGTGCCAGGACCAAAAGGTGATCAAGGGCAGAAAGGAGAACCTGGAGAAATGGGTTTACCTGGCAAGGATGGTATGCCAGGAGGAAAAGGTGCAAGAGGAGCAAAGGGTGAAAAGGGGGATGCAAACAATGATGTGATATTAGAAGGTAGGAAGAAGTGCTCTTAGAAGCTCTCTTGCAACAGTGTGCTTGATAAAGATGTACCATGGTTCTGAAGCATGAATGTGATCTGCAGGAGTAAGACCAACCACTACAAACATGTTATCCACAGTGAAGTTTGAGTGTTTCTCTGTGCACAAAATGTTCTCTCTTTAATGCAAGTCTTCACAAGAACTTTTCTGCTTGGGCTTTGAGTTGAGGTGTACGTGGATTCTGACCTTTCCAGTACACTTCCAGCCAGGTGACCTCCTGTTCTTTCTTGCAGTGTTTTATTTGTCTATTAGAAAATAAAGGGCAGGTTTCTTCTCAGGAATATGTGAAGCAGCCATAAATATAAGCTGTGTAAAATTACAGCATTGTAACATCTGACGTTGAAGTCTCAGGATACAGTAACTAAAAGCCAACAGTGCTTTTATAACTCTCTAATGTGCCTGTAATCCCAACAGATAAATTGCATTGTTGTCATACAACTTGTGAAGTTTTGTATGGTTCATCTTCTAACATACAGTACCCCGCTGTGTTTATTGCACCAGATTTCTATATGCAGATACACCTTAAGAAGGGAGGGGCTGTTTTACAGATCTCTGAAAGTCCATCATGTGAACACACACGTTTCTCTGCAGGTTGCCTGTTCCTTAGAGCACCTGTGACATTGTACTCTGTTTTGTATAGGTGCAAAAGGTGAACCTGGACCCCCAGGGCCCCCTGGACCACCTGGACCCCCAGGGCCTCCAGGAAAACGTAAAGGCAAAAATAAAGCACAGCTTCAGGAGAACGTGTACAGCAGCAAATGCACAGGTTAGTTCTTTCCAGTGTTCTTTTTAGGATAGTAAAGCCTCATAAAGCAGTATGCATGTGTTTAATTTTGCTGGCATCAATAAAATTGTACAAACTTAAAGCCGAGCATGTGGTTAGGTGTTTTGCTGAAATTTAATTTGGATAAGGCAGCAAGCTATCTCCAGTATAACAGTAGTCTTTCAATATGTTATTCAACGTACTTAATTGTGCTCAGGCGAAGTATTTACACATGGGGTTTTCTGTTGGATGGGATACACTTGCATAGTAAGAGAAAGGCCTTTGAAATTTTTCGCTTTTAAATGCTCAATTTTCATTTTATATGTAACTATAACACCTAATAATCAGGCTGCATTTCACTGTATTCTACAAAATGAAATTGCCTGTTATTGGCAGAAATGAAGCAAGCTTGAACTAGCTAAGACTTTTAAAAGCTGGAGGAATACAAAAGGATTCTCTGAGACTTTGTGTCCATTTGAAAATGTAAATTCTGGAGCAGGGTGATCTTGAGTTCTTTTCTGCTGTTGTTCATCATTATTGCATCCCGAATGCAGGTGGATCATGAGTCTCTTATTTCATTTACTGTAGCTGTGTTGGTGAAATATATGGCTAATTTTAATATTCATAAAGAAAAAAAGAATAGATTCCCTCCAAACTGTGTCTGCAAATTGCACAGCAGCTACTGTTAGAATCAAAATCCGAGCATCCAGACTACTGGTTCACAGATTGTATGATGAAGTGTAGCAGGTGCTATGCTTTAAGTCCCTGATCAGGTGCTGATATAATAAAGAGTTTGCCATGAGAAATCTCTGGCATGATTTTCAGGTGTGCTGGATACTAGTAAATCCTCATGGATTTAACTTGATACTGTGGACTGTTGAAAAATCATGCCAGGATTGTATTTTTAGCTTACTCCAACTCTTGGGTTTGTATCTGCATAGTAGATCTGACTGTCCTTGTCCCTTACCCCTGGACGGTATTGCATTCAACAGGGTGGCAGCTTTCAGTGACTGCTGCTACCCTTAGAGTTCTGGGATGGATTTTCCTCCCAGCCATGTTTTCAGGGGAGATCAGAGTGATCCTTTAAACTTAGGAATAGCAAAGGATGTCTCGGTTACTAATCTTAGGCATTTCTGGAAGAGAGTTATTTGCAGCACTCCTTGATAAAGTGGGATTTCTTTCATAATTGGGAATGTAGTTTCTTGATAGGCATACCAAAAGGGAATAGCTTCCCTTTTGGGAACTGAAGAACTACATACAGTTATTAAGTGTGAAACAAGCAGAGCAATTTGTATGTCGTACCATTAATAGGGTGGTATCTTTTTATGTCACCATCATTCAGCACAGTTTGCTGAGATGACTTTATTATTATTATAAATGTATTAATTAAAACTAATGTAAAAAAGTGTCAAAATTAGCAAGTGAATATTTAATGCTGGGTGAAAAAACATACCAACTATTTCTGCCTCTTATTATAGCATTTAATTGTAGTAACATGCAAGAACCTCAATCAAGAGATTCTGGGTGTTGATGTATCACAACAGAGCCCAAAGAGCTTCCTTACAACGGAAAGTAGATAGCTGGAGCAGAAATCTCATCCTATTTGAAATTCAGAAATGCATGAACTATTGTACAAGGTATAATTGGAGCATTTACTCAGGTACCCTCTTTTCAAGTGTTGAAACAGACTGAAGTGCTTTGGAGGATAAGCTGCCTGATGGATCTCTGATGGATTTTAAATCCCAGTGTGCAAGTAGGAGTTATACTCGAATAACTGCAAAGATGAGCTCTTCCTCAGTGAGCGTTTACTTTTTATGAGTTAGTAGCTGCGAGATCTTATTACCAAAATTCAAGGAATAAAACAGCTTTTGTAATTAAATATTCATGTCCCTTTGAAGAAAAAAGAATACAGATACTGATTTACAACTGTAGTTAACTTATTGCATAGATTACAAGAACAGTTTCTTTAAATTAAATTTGTATCAGATAAAACTTTAAGAGAACAATTAGCTGAAAGCTCAGGTGCATTTGTTCTCAATGGTACTGTTAGCTAACTCAAACAGAAACATCCCTGCTCCACACTCCCTTGCTTCATCCTTCCCACCCTCCCAGACAGCCCAAATCAATAGTTTTAATGTCTTGTAAACTCCATTAACTCTCAGCCAGATGTTTCAGCTATTTTTTTTTAATTTATTTTTCTTTTCCCCGGGAAAGAAAGCAGAGAAAATTCCACCCGAGAATCTCTGATGGAAACCCATCTGTTTAATCTTAGTCGCTTTCCTTTTCATGCAGCTGAAAGTCCTCAGAGTATTGCAGATATTCTCAAATGTAAACAGTGCACTCAGCTTCACTGCAAACACTGACCTAGTCCTTGACTACTCTATAGTCTTAGATAAACTGCTGTATAGGGCACTGCTCATTCAGTTAACTGCATTTGTTAGACTTAGTCCAACAAAATTAACCTGTGCATTGCAACTTATAATTTACACTGAGTGGGTTCCTTTTCTGAGATATTTTAACACTATTTTGAGATCAGAATCTGGAAAGGGATCTAGAAGGATTGCTGGATTCTAGCGATAGGCATTCATCTTCCCCTGGTTGCACTGACTGTGCCTTATTTTGGAGATAGCTGTGATCACTTACAAACTTTTAATGTCATCACTAAATGTCCTAGATAAATGGGTGGGAGAAATATGCGTAGTTCTTGTTCTATCTTGGAGTAATTTTGCTCTTCATGAACAAAGAGTGAATATAACCTAAAGGAGAAAAAAACAATGCAGTATAATCTGTCCTTTCTTTCCTAAATGTCACAGTAACCTTTCAGCATTATTTCAGTTATTTCATATTTTTACTGTCTTTCTCATTTAAACTTCAGCACAGCCATGTAAGTCCTAGAAATATACTGGAAGGCAACAGTGAAAAACACATGTCCAGAAGAATTTGCTGCCTGCATGTCAAGCAGTGTGAAATGTGTAAGGAGATGAAGGTTAAGAATGGAATTAGAAAACAAAGCTACAGTTAAATCAGGGTATCTTCTGCAAAGAACTGAGAACTGTTCTCTCTGGTTATTCATTCTAAGCAAACTGAAATGTGTTGCATTGTTTTGAAGGCAGAAGAGGTATCTGGGTTTATAGAAAAAGGTTCATAAATAATATTCAGGAATTGTTTTAACAGTAAATGCTAAGAGTAAACAAAACCCAATTTAGAATTTAGTTACTCTACAAATTGTTAAGGGATGGGGAAAACCATTCCCAGGTGTTTCTAATGTGAGCCATTTCTATGTGTATAAGGAATATAATGTAAAATTTCCCTTAGTCTTTCATACTGTTTATTAGCATGGATGACTGACCTGCAGTCTTATGCATTACGTGTCAGTGTATGTGTTCAAGCTTTATTACTGTCTTGGGCATTAACAGCATAAGCAAAACTTCCAGTACTGCCTACAGAGTACACCCCCTCTGCTGATGTGCGTATATTTGGGCATAAAGCTTTTTGAGTTTAGCCTTCACTCACTCCCAAGAACATATTTTTGGTATTGCTGCTAAACCAGCCAGCTGCCAGCTATCTCAGTTGTCTGGTTATCTAAGGAAAGGGGCAACTCTGCCTTTCTAAGCAGCTACTCAGAAATTCACAGCTCAGGAATGAAATCTATTGAGTAAAATCAGTTACTCCTCAAAGTCAACTGTCTAATGACTTTAAGGAAAAAAAACTAGCCCGAACACTTAATTTCCTTGGTGGAAGTGAGAGCAAGTCTCTTTTTATCTCTTTATGACCAGACCAACCTAAGCTTTTTGTCCCAGATCAAACAAAATCCCAGTTGTCATTCCACGATTTTAGTGGAGTCACTGATGTGCATATCTGCCATGTCAGATATAGAAAAGTGACGTATTTGACCCTTTCTTTCTCAACTCTAGGTGAGACGTGTGCTGTACCAAATGATGATACCCTGGCTGGAAAAGCTGAAGACAGAACCCCTGCTCCTTCAAAAAAAGCTGGTAACCTGCTACAGAGTGTGACTATCTGCTACTTACTGTTTTAATGCCACAGATAATGGACATGTGCTTTTTCTCTACTAGCATGTGTCATAACATCTGTAGGAAGTCCTGTTCACTTTGTCAGTGTACAGCAAACGTTTGGAACTTGGATGCGGGAGCCTGCAAATATAAGTGATGAAAGGATTTGGCTTACCATGCATTTTTCAGGTACACTGGGAGTAGTCACTCATTAAAGACCAGCTGTTATACTAATATTGCTTTGTGAATGCCTTCAGAACCCTAAACTAATAATTCAAATGAAGAATGATGGGGTTTGTACCCACATCTTTTTCAGAATGTTTTCTGTATTGCCTATACAGTATTTGACTATACGGCTATAGACATTTGCAGTATCTGTAGATGTTTTCAAAGTCACATCAGATTTTGAAAACAGTTTGAGGATTTTGGTTGGGTTTTTTTTGCTTGCTTGTTTGTTTTTTTAACCAATCCAAGTTTAAATATCTGTGGTTCATGCCTTTTTTTTGTATTCTTTCAACAGTTTCCTATGGTTTTACTTCCCTAAACTGTAGCTAGTTTTGCCTTTTCATTTAGTGAGGCATGAAAATGAATCAGATGCTGCATGAGCTACATTTAGTGCAGGACCTAAGTGGAAAAAGGAAACGTTTCTGTATATTTACCAACTGTGTTCAGAATTAGGGTCCATCAGGTCTGTGGGAAGCAGCCTTTGAACACCATCTCTGTAGATTTTTATTTTTTTTTTTTTGGTATGTGTGTCTGAATTGTTTTATCACATTCCAGCAAGTTGAATCACTATTGGAAACACAAATACAATTGTCTGTCAGCTATTTGATTGAGATTGACTTTCACCAGAGATTGAATTTTAGGACAGAGATTTCAAAATTAGAGGAAATACACGATAGCGCTCTTTATATGTTTTCTCCTTCGTTTAGGAAACTCTATAAGAGAATATGAGAATTCCAATGCCTTGCTGAATGACAGCTACAGGATCATTAACATCACAGGATTCTTTTATGGATGTGGTCATGCAGTACGAAACAATCATCTGTACTATCAAAAGGGAGGAACCAATGTCATTCTGAAGTAAGTCACACATAGTTGGCTTAAGGCAAGTGACAATGTGGAAAGAGGAACAATGGGTTACAGTGACAGACGTGAACCTCAGAAAAGCAGACCACTTGCACCATTTTATGTTTCATTTTGGTCCTGTCCAAAATAGGAAGAATGGAGGAATGGTTCAGAATTCTTTCCAGAACAGAACTACTAATGCTTTCCAATCTGTAACTAGAATGTGCATTACCAGACTTCTCTGCGTGTGTGTAGATGCTGTGGAAGGAGAGGAGCTGGGAGGGTAGTCCAGGTCTTTTAACTCTGCTGTGACAGTTTGTTAAGCATTAAGTGCCTAAGTGGTTATTCTGAGTGGTCCCTGCACGGTAGGATAATGGGGCCTCCAGATAAATGAGATGCCATGTGCAGAAGTGAAGAGGTTTTTCTTTTGGCTATAGTGAGATCCAGTAGGTTTCTATTCTAAGTTACATTGCTGTGGATGTTCTTGCACGTGGATTTACTGTGCTTATAATAAAGAAATAAGAATGAAGGAATTTGGTGATTAGAAACAAGTATTTGAGTGGAAAAAAAAACCAACCAAAACCTAAAGCAGCTGTACATCTACCTCCATCAGAGTAAGAATTGGTTCAGCTGCAGCTTGGGGAACATGGATGAGCAATTACATGACTGAAGCCCACCTGTGGAGCTTGGCTTTCCAGAGCTTCCTGCTGGGTTGATGCACATGCTTTGTTCTTGGATAGCACTGTTCTTAGCTTAGGGGTTCTTAGGCAGGGGTTGATTTTATGCTGCTAGTGCAAAGGAATGCACCAAGACACCAGCTGGTGAACTGGTGGATTGTGCATCTTGCTGTGGAGTGGCTCCACTGTTTGATTTCCTTGTAATAAGTTCTTACAACTCTCCCAATTCATCTCCCTGAATTGGAGCTGGGAATTACATCTCCCTGAATTGGAACTGGGAATTACATCTCCCTCTTCAGTTTCTACTGAGGACAGACAATACAAATCAAAACCAAACTCTCATCTTGTGGGAAGAGCCAAAGAAAGACAGCCCAAGGGCAAGTGAAAGATTGCATTTGCTTTCACATTCTCTTACATGACTCTGATGTTTGAGCCAAGAATATTAGTATACTTTGATGTCTTCTCAAGCAGGTGTGAGTGCTGCCTTCCTATATTCATTTAGACGCCAAGGAATGTGAACAAGCTGCTTGGATTCTATAATGCTGTTGTGGTTTAAGCCAGGTTTATTCTGCTAAAGACAAGCACACTTTCTGGCAACCTCCTTTAAATATCTTCTGGGCTTTTTGTTTATACAAATATAACACGGTGTTGATATTTGCTGATAGCACAGAGGTTCCTCACTTCTGCTTGGGTGCTGTTAATTGGGAAATGCCTTCACGTACAGATGAGCACAAACTATTTGTGGAATTTTCAAAACCTCTCTCAAAGTTGCCGAGACGTGGCCTTTCTGTTCAGTTATTCACTCTTAAGATTATTTTATCTTCTGCGCAGACAGAATGAGGCACTATGAATTCTGTGACAGTAAAGTCCTTGATTTTGGGCTGCAGAAAAGCTTCTGGGAGTTTTTGCATTGGTTTAATGGAAAGAATAGGTGAGGACCTGGTTGGTTCATTTTGCAGACGTTGACAAATAAAGTAAGTTTCCTGTCATATTTAAAAGCTGGTAGAACTAGGTTTGTCTCACTTTTGACAGGTTTTCTCATGATACCTGAGATTGCTTCATCCTTTCATCCGTTGTTTCATCACATGCTTTTCCACCTCTTTTTAATTTTGGTTGACTTCATTCATATTAGCAATCAAAAATTGTAGGTTTAATTCCCTGCAGTTGATGAAGATATTACAGTGCCTCCTGTCATTTACCCCAGTGTGCCAGAAGATTCAGGGATTTTTGAACTGTTCGAAGTTCTAGGCTAGACTGTCTTTGATGGGGGGAATGGAAAAGAACCTCAGGGAATGAAACCTCACTTTTCTGTTCCCTTCAGGATTTTCATATAAAAGACAAAAATATAGGGTATTTTTTGTTGCAGTTTTTGCACATTTCTAATGAATCTTGAGATGCTTTTTATCTTGTTGACTCTTTATAGAAAAAAGTCCTGAAGAAAATCTGCCTTTCTATGTGACTGCTCCTCCTAAGAGCTGTCCTTCTAGCCCCTGCAAGGTTATCTACAAACATGAAGCAACTAGCAAGATTAACTGCATTGACACACACGTTGCTCAGAAATCTCCTCCAGCCTGGAAGCTTTTTTGTATTGCCCATACATGCTGCTGGAATACGGAGTTACTGCAGACATGAGTTTTACAAAAGCTGAGGGGAATCATCTAGTTAGTCAGTCTCGACTTTTCTTACCATGATTCTTCCAAACTATGCTGTCAACACCACTTCCACAGAAAAATTATTTTTCCAGTATTCTTCCTTCCATTGTAAGTTCCTGGATCTGAAATGTTCCTTTCATTAAGCTTGTCTTTTCAGAAGCATTTTGTATCAGTAGCGTATTCCTGTATTGAGTAATGTTTTTCCTCTATTTGAGGAATGGAGCTATACAGTTAGATAAACATCAGACAATGAAATGTGCTTTGAAGGCATTGCTTAAAGCATTACTCTCTCTGCCTTTGCTAAAATACTGCATTTTTCAGTGATTAAATGCTAACTGCAAATGTGTCTTGATAGTAGCTGATTAGCCGCTTAAACTAGTAAGGGAACTCAATCTAGCTGCCCAGTTCTGCTGTCCTCAGATGATCATCCTATTAAGGAATTTCAAGGAATAAAAACAATTTTATATATCAGAGACGAGACGTACAGTCTGTCCTGTTGGAGGCCAGCATAAGGTCGGGATTTTGGCTCTGAAAAGTAGAATTTTTGTTCCTTTGATGTTTACTTGAGCACTCCATTATCTGAACTGTTTTGAAAAGGAACTCTAAGACTAGGTGATCCTGCCCAGAATTCATGATGGTTTGGTCAATCACATTTCCTTGCTTTAGTTCTCGCCTAGTAGAAAGTAAACTTCTGTACAGGTTTCATTTCATACGTTTGGGCCTTCACTTAGTATCTTATTCTTTTTCATACACATTCCTTTTAGTTTCTGCTTTCATCCTAGTGATAATAAAGATTATAGACTAAATAAAGTGAAACCTACTAAAGTGAATTCATGCTCTTGTGCTCTTTTTAGATTGGTTATTGCTTTGGAATTTTCTCCTGGTTTTTTGGAAGGTGATTTGAGTGGAGTACATAATCTTAAAAGACATGAGAATGGTCCTTGAGGACAAATATTTTCAGCAATGCTTCTACCAGTAATAATGCACTCTGAACTGATTCAACCAGTGTGTATAAAAATGAATTTCTAACACAACAATCCAAATACTTTATCTCATTTCAGACTTGGGCTTGACAGAGCATTGCTGGGCACACTGCTAATTGAAAAAGCATTACATCATGGTCGTAACTACCTGTTTTCTAACTCAAAGACATATTTCAAAGTAGCAGTGGATGAGAAGGGACTTTGGATTATATATGCCTCAAGCACTGATGAAAATATCATAGTTGCGCATATTGAGGAAGAAACCTTTTCAGTCATTCGGCATATCAATACCACATACCCCAAGTCCAAGGCGGGTAACGCATTCATAGCATGTGGCATTATGTACGTTACCGATACTAAGGACACGACAGTAAGTTTTGCTTTTGATTTACTGAAAGAGAAGCAGGTTGACACAAGGTTTGAGTTACGGTCTTCACAGTCCGTTCTTGCCATGCTTTCATACAGTCTAAGAGATAAGAATTTGTATACATGGGAGAATGGGAGCTTAATGGTATACCCTGTGCATTTTGGGAGATGAATATATTTTAAAACTTCATGTATGGGAGCTGTGTTGACTAAATAGATTATTTAAAGCTGTATAGTACACACACAGGAGTCTACACAGGGGTCTCTTCACTTGGGATAATTCTCTGTTCACTGTTGGTGGTTTCTGAGTGTGTATAGAAGGGAGAGCAGGCGCCTTTGCATAAACACACTTCAATTATACAGTCCATTCTCATTTCTTTACAAGAATAGCTGTTCAATATTGCAGCTGGCACACAGTTAGCACAGACTTGCTTTTGTTTTCCCCTTGTTATTCAGCCGATAATTATATCTAATGTACATTGATTCCATGGTCATGTGCTCAGCAGAGACTATTTATAACTTTCAGTTGCAATCATCTTATCTGCCATCATTTTCTCATCAGTGATTATGGTTTAGCAGAAATAATGATCTGTTGTGTACAAATACCTTTGTCACTTCCACTTAATACTTTTCACTGATTCTCTGTGAGCTTTTTATGGACAAAGGTATACAGCTATTAAAAATGGCGATGGAAATAGTTGTTTAGATAGAAAAAAAGGAGATAGCTTTGAATTTGAAAAACCCAGTGAACTGTTACGTAATCAAAAGAAAAATCCAGCCCAAGTACAAGGAAATGGGAATAACTACATTGTTAAATATTGAATATACATGAAATTGTGTTTAGTACATGGAGCAAGGGGGAAAAGTAATGAGGTATAAAATTGAAGAGAAGATGTAAAATTTATGATTAAAATTTCTTTTTTAACAGTGTTTGTATTGCTGCAGACTCTTCCTTACTCCTCACTGCCATGTAAACTATACCACTACAACTTGCTTATACCTACACTTAATTATAGTAAGGCATATATCTATAAAAAAAATTCCCCACATTTATCCATAGAAAGTCATAAAATGAAGGGTATATGTTTTTGGTGCTACTAGAAAAATAAAAAACACAGGCTGTGTTTCCTGCAGCTGCCTTTGTTGGAGATGAGGATCCACATTCTGTTAACCTTATGCTTTTCTAGGACAGCTGACAATAAAATGCACACAGCTCATCCTTTTTTACATCAGTACAATCTGAGATAGAGTTAAAGATAGCTCAGCACTATCCAGTCAGTCCACTGGAGGTTTAGTCACATCCATTTAAATATAAGGAAGAGTTCTGCAATGGACTGTTCCATGAAATAAAAGTAATTTATTTAACTTACAAAGGGAAAACTAAACAGTGACATTTACTCTTCTTTCTTTTCATACTTCTCGTACTTCACAGCCTGCAATTTAAAATCACCTTGGGAGAAAGGTGCTTTTTATTCTAGTATATTTTACAATACAGCACAGACATTAAAATTTTCATTGGAGGAATAAGACAAATTTGTTAACATTTAAATACGCAGACATCCGTTCCAGTCTCTTAAGAACATATTTTTTGTTTACAACAGAAAAATACATCTGACAACAGTAGCTAGTTATATTACAAGCAAACAATATTGAACTCTGCATAGTTTATACAATATACTGTGGTAATAATTTAATTACCAGTTTTATCCACTATTTACTAGCTGGCCACATAAAGCCTGACATTCATCTGAAATGTGGCATTGTATGCTCCGTTGGTATTCTCTTAACAGCTTCATTTAATGAAGTATTTTTCAGGACAAATGAATTTCAAAACTAAAAGCTGACTAGAATCATGGATGTCTTCACTACAACATTTAGTGCTTACAGTACATTCCTAAAGTAAAGGCAGGTGTCCAATAGAAAACATAGCTGTTGGGAAGAAAGGAAAATAGTGTGCAAATTAAAAACACTGTGTTTAAAAATGTGTTGATGTGCAAGTTGCAGTATCAACCGTGTATTAAAACTCACTAGGAAAAAAAATCTCAGCAGAAAATGATACATGTCTCACAGTACGTTCTTGATTGCACATGTTCCACGGCATTTGCATCCATTACACTTTCTTGTGAAAACCAAAATACACCACGTACTCTTTAATTAAAACTAAACTATTTTACAATGAGAAGTTGTACACATGCTTCAATTGGTGCGAAAAACTGGAATAAAAATCAGAATCACATCAGAAATGCTTACTGACTTGTAGAGCCACAGTGCTTGTGAAGTGACTGACAGTTGTCAGAATCTTTGCAATACGCTTACTAAATGCAGCTTGTGGGTTACTAAGCAATAACCCTGCCTGTGACTGCCTGTACTGGGTTTAATTCTTTGCTTTTACAATACAGTACATGCATTTCCACCCCAGTGATCCTAATGGGCATACTCAAAATACACCTGTTGTAAAAGTGGTGTGGGTTGGTGGCTTTTTGTTGTATTTTTTTAAATCTTTTTTCCCCTATAATACTTAATGCTGCAGCAACTGCTTTGAAAGGAAACATTCTGTTTCCTTTCCACAGTGCTTATCACTGTGTTTTTAGCTACTTAAAGGGACATTATATAAAACCAGGATTAGCTTACGTGATGCTACAGCGTGTCAGAAATGCTTGAAGGTACATTGAAAGCATGGGGAAGAACCCTCATTTTCAGTGTGCCATCTGCTCCACAGGAGAAAATACGATTGCCTTGCACAGTTTCAATCTGGGTGACACCAGCACCAATGTTTCTGAAAATGGACTGCTTAGCATGTTCATTTTTAAATGAATGAATTAAATTATAGCCAGTCAGTCTCCACACCTGTATCAAAAGAATGACAAATGAGAAAAGAAGATTAAAATTAGGATTTGTATTTTTTCCTTGATATTTCAGATTCCTGGCTGTTCTAAATGCTATTCAGCAACAATAAAGGGTATTTTTTGTTGTCTGTTAGCATCAATTACAAATCCCAGAGTCTTGAGAGGCTCCTGATGAAGCATAATGTGAGACAGCAGAAAGCTACCTTAATATGGACCAGCTGGTTATTGGGCAGGGTGAAGCTGCCTTGTGTTACCTGGTCAGCAGTGGCCCTCCCAGCTTCTCCCCATGAAAGCTGCAGAAATGGACAGGCTGCGTTTTTGTCCAAGATGACTACTGTCAACTTTCCAGCAGCTGGGAATGGTTTACTGCTAAGGAATGCTGCACGAAGTAAGCTGTATAACTAATAAGCAAGCAGAGTGGTAGCAGAGCTGAGCTGTCTGCTCTTGTGTCCTAAGTTTTAGAAGCCCTCATCAAGACTAGCCCAGTAAGTGCACAGAGGCACAGAAAGCGCCTACTAAACAGTATGCAGTCCAGCTAAAAGGAGAGAAACTGTATTCTCCTTCTCTTTACCATGTTCTTTTATTTTTTTCCTTTAGTATTCAGGAAGTATGCCATTTAAAACAGGGACTGGTTTTCTGTTTTGTTGGGGTTTGTTTCTGACTGCTATGACAGCTTAATATCTGTGTTGGGCTTCAGCACCAAGATTGAACGGAACTCGGTGTTACAGAAACTCCACACGTTGCTGAAGTTACTGAACGTCCCCTGTATTGCAGGGAGAAGTAACCAAAGGCAAAACCAGACGCTTTTTAACTGAGAAAAATAAAGCTAAGGTTTCAGAGTCATGCAGTTTGATTTATCCACTTACATATCAGTCACACAACTTTAAAAAGACTGTTTAATTGGAGAGCAAAACCTGCTTGCTTTAGAAAGATGTTAGTACATTTAAGTTCACGTTATAAATGTAAAGCAAGCATCCTGTGTGTCAAATGTGGGTTTGGGTTTTGGGGGTTTGTTTTGTTACTGCATTCATCTGGCTATTTGCAGCATGCCCATCAACGTGTCAATATACTACTTCAGCTAAATACTATATACAACTTGGCTCATCCAGTACCTTACCTTCATGTTGCCTTCTGCTGAGCCTGTGACAAAATACTCTTCAGAAGGGTCCAGGGCAAGGGCCTTCACAGCTGACTCATGTGCGTGGAAGGTGTAAAGGATTTGCCTCTGTCTGATGTCAAAGATGCAGATGTATCCCTTCCTACCTCCAGAAATTAGCAGTTGATGTTTAGGTGCATACTGAAGTACTGTGGCACCGTGATCATGACAAGTAAAGGCTGAAGAAGGAGGATATCAGAAATTAATAGATTTGAAACTGTAAGTAGCTTTCGATCTTAAAATGCATTTCTTCTATAAAGTGTTATCTGAGTATTTTCTAACTTGACAGATATATTGCTTCACACAGGTAATGTCGTATCGGCTGACAGCTTGTTGCTCTCCTAAGAGCTATGCAGATCTAATGCACAAGAAAATACAATATGCAGTTTAATTCATTTTATAATACAGGTAGATATCTGGATTTAGAACAAATGAGAAAATACAAAATTCCCTATATTAAGTTTGATTAAATCCCCAAGTTGAAAAAAGAAAAAAAATTATATATATATATAGCTGAACTAAGACATCTCTTTTAAAGTGAGGCTGAACTGTGAAATCTCCTAGTTTTACAATATGAATCTCAGAATGCACCTATTGCTTATTCAAGTAATGAAGTTATTTGCAGATGTTGATGGTTGAACTTGCTCTTTTAAAAGCACAGGATATTGTATTTGGATATATTTTTCTTTCATAGCGCAACATGACAGGATTTCGCTTTGGTTCATTACATAAAGATGAAATTATTGAAGTGGGTCAAATAGGCACAAACGTTTTTTAAGATCCCAATCCAAGTGCTGAAAGACAAGGACAGTAGACAGAAGGATTTGCTTCTACTGTTACCTACAGTTGTCTTTTCCTTTGTGCTACAACAGAGTACTGGATATAGGAAGTGCCACTTTTAAGTGGAAGCCTGCATACACCAAAGTATTCAATAAAACAGCCTTATTAGATGGGGTTTTTTTAGGACTGTATTCAGATATTTCAGTCTTTATTAATACTGGCACAAAACCAGCTTTGTGAATAACCTTCTTTCTTCATACTCTTATATAGAACTGATGGACATCATGCTAGAGACTAAGCAGAACCAGTTCTGGTACATGCATTAGTGTACAATGTATGTTTAGACCAGTTCCCCTTAGCCCAAATGCATACGCATGCTTTATTTCCTTAGTCAGTAAGTAGTAGAGGTTTAATTTTCACTGCTTTACTTACCATGTATAAGATTGTTACCAGATGAAGCCAAACTGTCCCAGAGGCACACATTTCTGAAGGGGGACAAAAAGTCATTATGGCTTGTTACTAAGTGATTCATAGGGTGACATGACTCAAAAAGCATTTACATTTTATATCAAAGCCTAGAAGGCAGAACTGAATAAGGAGTCCTTGACTCTGCAGTCATCAGAGAGCACAAAGAGTTAAAAGCTTTAATTCTTTCTGTGCTCTTTCATGCTTCTTAATGGACCTATACTTCCTGTCTTTAAGATGTGTAATCCTAAATTGTACTAAGAAATTATAGTTGTTCTTTTCAGAGAAAAAGAATTATCTTGTCTTTGCTGAACATTTTTTCCCCCAGCAACAGCATCATGTCAGACTAACTCCATTTGGAATACACCTTGAAAAAACTGGCTGTTGACCCCTCCTCACAAAAACTAAATTTGGGAAACCAGCAACTGAAGGAATATGTTCAAAAAACTGATCTGTAAGTTCATATATAACAAAGCTTAGAACACTGAGCCTTAAGATGTCAGCTACACATTAATGCACAAGAGCTTGCAAGTTAATGAGATGAGTAGGTTAATTTGGTGAAATTCCTCAATGTTTCTTTAAACGCACCTGTTATCACTGGACTGTCCCGATGTAGCAACTAGACTCGAGGAGGTTATAAATGCAAAGTCACTTGTGGTTTTACTGTGGCACTGCCAACTCTA